GGCATAATAGATTTTCACTTATCTTCAAGCTATTATTGACTTTCGTACTGGAGTTCGAAATAATCAACTTTTGTTGCGTAATGCAGCTAGGCATCAATTTGCACCAATATGGTCATCTAGACGCCATCCAATTTACAGAATGCTTGAAATATCTCATAAAGAAAATTTATTATATTTGAAGCCTCATATTCGTGAAATTGTTGAAAATTTTTCAGTTGTATCTCATTCTGAACTTCAGAATCAGCATCAAGGGCTTGATGCCGTTGTAGAAGAAATTAATAAGGAATTAAAGTCCTTAATTCCTCCAGTACCATCACAACGTCATTGGGAGATTGCTGCAAGAAATTATACAAATTTTATGAAGGTAATTCAATAATATTATGCTTTAAATTAAATATAGCTATTCTGAATCAGAATTAGAGTATCCAGCTTCAAAAATCTTAAATGAACCATTAGCTTAAGAATAAGTATATAGAGAATACATTATAGTTATTACATGGGTATGTAGTGAATAACCCAATTACATATACGGGTTTATATTTCATGCCAAAGGCACAGGATTTAAATATGAATCTGTGTGTGTAACTGGGTTATTCAATATACCCATACAATAACTATCTTATTGCACGGTGTCTGATGTAACAATCTCATACCAATAAGTAAATAAAAAAAGCACAGATTGTCACATAAGACCCATGCAATAATGGTTATCAAACGATTTACTTATGTAGCAAAAGTAAATTGTTTGATAGTTTGCAATACTCCCTGTATAGTAATAATACAGTATACCATAAAGTACTGACTAGATATCTGATTATATACGAAGACTTGAGATAAATTTGTATTTTTGGTTAATTTTGCTGGGTTTCAATATATTATACCAACTAGATATCTCTAAAATATAAAAACATTATCCTTTGAGATATAATAAATATAGTATCTGAACATAAATTAAATTATAATTTTCAAATTATTACCTATAAATACAAATCATGGAAGGATTGACTAGCCTGCACTTTATAGTAATTATAGTATATTAATTATATACTCTTAAGTTAAGTAATCTCATTAAAAATCCTAAAGCCTGGTAATCTAATTCTAAATCAGAATCGTTAGATTCTAAATTCAGCAGATTTTAATTTAGTTATACATAGTAATATAAATTAATTACAACATAATGATTACTAAAATCTAGTTGCGTACCAACCTATTTAATATTATTGGATATGAGGATAATGAGAATTTAGGACAACGAACTTGACCTAATTCTTATATGGAACAACAACGTTTTCGTACATATTTGAGGAAGAAACAGTTTTTTAGTCTAAAAATAAATAGTACGTTAACTAATTTAGATGGTGATGTTAACTTGAGCGAGGAGATAAAATCATTTAGTATACTAGCACAAGAAAGAAGACAAATGCTTATTAAAAAAATCTTATTACAGCAAACTAATACTAATGTTTGGCAACTGATTCCAGTAACAGAGCAAGAAGCTGATACACTAAAAAATGAAAATACAATGAAAAAAGAAGAACTCATTGCAATTATTAATTCAGTACTTATCTCACTTCCCGATTCACAACGCACAAAGTATACCAATTTAAAAAACAAAACAAAGGCTGTACTCCTAAAAATATTGCAAGAAATACGAGATTTAAATAGTGCTGAAGAAATTATAGATGAAGAGAAGACTAATAATGAGCTTACCGATGAAAAACTAACAAATGAAAGTTAATAAAATCACATTCATTATATAATTCTTACTTATTGCGTAATTACTAAAATTGTTTAAAGCAAAACTCTAATTCAGTTTTTGCTAAAGTTTTATGTTATTAATATAGTAAAATACAATATTGCATTAGATAAATTAGAAAACTACCCACCTAGACAATTAAATCTCAAATGTAAATACATTCCCATAACATAAAGTATATACTTCAACCAAATCTTTTATACCATATTTCATAAGGGCCAACACCTATTAAGATTAAAGCAAAGCCTTAAAATTCAAATCCTTATGTTGAGTAACAAAAATAATTGATATTATTCTCTGTACGTTTATAAATAAAGATAATCAAACACATATAGTAGTAAATAAGAATTGTCTTCTAACGTCAGTGATCATAATGAAATTAGAAGATAATTTAAATGCTATATACCCTTTTAACCGACCAATTTCACTATAAGGTCTACTATTGATTCATTTTCTTATTTAATCATTCATACTTTTCTTCTAGATTCATACCTTAGATCGCATCTTTCTTTTTCTTAGGACTTCTGCTTTTTGAACTTTACTGGCGGCTTGTGGGAATATCTAATATACATTTGATTAAGTACTATATTATTAATATAATTTGTATTACACCTTTTTTTTCATTTTTATTCATATTACTAAGGCTAGCAATAAATAATCTGAACCATATTTTAATAATTAATACTTATGCTAGATTACACTTCAACCATATTAATACAGACAAAATATATTAAAAAAGGTAAAATTTAAATCTCAACCTGTCTTAAAAAGTTAATTAGATACTCATTTTTTAAGCACACATAACTTAGGCATATACGTGGATTTAACTATAATTTTTGTGGATTCTAAATCTTTAGAACTTAAAATACCCGCTTCGATAATTTAAAGAAATTCTTTTTAAAAAAAAAATCATGTGAATTTAGATCAAAATTTTATATAAATAGTAAAAAAACAGCCAATCAAAATTTATTTTGTAGATCATTAACGAATTTCCAAATTCTAGAATAATTTTACATATCAACCCAAATTTGGAAAAATCCCAGACTGCAGTAGAAAAGAAGAGTTTGTTAGTATCTTATAATTAATAAAGAATACTATTCTATCTTTAAATAAATCATTCTCCTTTCGCCTGAATAAAATAAATACTTATCTGAATATTCCCTTATATATTGTCTTTAAATTCAACTTGTAACTTTGATAAACCCTTTCAAGACTCAATTCGACAGACTGAATTGACTGGTAACTTTGACTCGGCTTATTAAGACTCAGATTCTGAAATGATTGTAGAATCAGATATTACTATCCTTAGTGATTTGCAATAATTGTGATAAAGAACAAGACTTACAATTGGTTATTCAACTCTGTTAATTACTTATATGAACTTGAAGTTAATAATAACAAACCTTGAGTTTCGGGTTTACTTTACTATACTAAAATGGTAATGATAAATTGGTTTGGTGGCTTAATTATATGAAGGTTGCTCAAGATGTGTAAATGTGATCATGAGGATGCAAACACAGCTATTTGAATCTGTTGTTGTGGCTCACTTGCATAATCACAAGAAAATGACTAAAGAATGGATGTATAAACATTTCTGTGAGGGTATAAGCATCTTAGTGGAAGTGTAATCGCATCTGTAGTCATATAAACGCAGTCTTTAGGGTGTAAACACTCCCAAATCTAAAATGTATTTAAAGATCTAATATCTAAAACAGTAGAAGAGAAGAATTTGTTAATATCTTATAATTAATAAAGAATACAATTCTATTTTTAAATAAATCATTCTTATTTTATCTAAATAAAATAAATACTTATCTGAATACTCTCTTATATATTGTCTTTGAATTCAACTTGTAACTTTAATAAACTCTTTCAAGACTCAATTTGATGGACTAAATTGACTGATAACTTTGACTTGGCTTATTAAGACTTAGATTCTGGAACGATTGTAGAATTAGATATTACTATTCACCTTAGTGACTTGCAAGAATTGTAGTAAAGAACAAGACTTACAATTGGTTATTCGACCCTGTTAATCACTTATGTAAACTTGAAGTTAATAATAACAAACCTCGAGTTTTGGGTTTACTTTATTATTGAAAAACTAAACTAATATATTATTTATTATTTTTTTTTTTTAATATTAAGGTGACCATTTTGGGGTCTGGCACATTTTATTAAACTTTGGATCAAATGCCAGAGCAACTATATGGGCTACCTCTGACTTTGTTATATTAACGAGGATACATTCTAGCCATGTATACAACTATTATTTATTAGATATATATTAATTACCTTATTCTATTTAATCTAATTAGAATTTTTTCTTTAAAATAAATAAAATATATTTGTAAGTATGTTTAAATAAGTATTAAAAATTCTTTTAGATCTTTATCAATAACAAACCTCGAGTTTTGGGTTTACTTTATTATTGAAAAAATAAACTGATATATTATTTATATATATATTAGTTATCTTATACTATTTGATCTGATTATATA